CCATCAGCAGGAGGGGATAGGTACAGGATCTCTGGCACATTGTCATTCTGGTCCAAGATGAAGAGAGTCACCGAGACATTAGAGCTGAGTGGTGGGGATCCTCCATCCTGAGCCTTGACCTGGAACTGAATCTCCCAAATCTCCTCATAATCCAAGGAGCTTAGGGCATAGACAGTCCCTGTCTCAGAATTAATGGAGAGGTGGGAAGGAAAGATTTTCTGATGTCAATCTTTGGTATAGTTATCTTGGAATAAGTTCCATTAATTTCAGTTTACTTTTGAGTAAGCTTTCATAGAATTGGGTTCTTTAGTCTCTCTTTCAATTATAGAATTAATTATTGTGTCACTTTCCCTACATTTAGGATCAGATGCCTTTCATTCATAATGAAATAAACTGCATTAATATTTTCTTCAATTCAAGCCTTGAAAAATGCAGTTTTAAAAGTGGGTGGATTATCATTTTCATCTAATATTTCTAATGGGAAGTATGCAGTTGCTGTGAAGGAGGAATCCCTTTGTCACTTGCTAGAATTGTGATATTGTATGCTGATAACTTCTCCCTATCAAGTACATTTACAATTTCCAAGTTGTAATAACTATCAAATTATTTCTTCAGTAGAAATGGAAGCCTTGCTGATATGAAACATGTGATGTCTCCATTCCCACTGTTATTGTTATGAATATCAATAACACCTGTTATACTTCCTGGTGGAGAGTCTTCTGCAATCTTGTTGAAAAGTGTTATTATTGTGATCTTTGGTGCATTGTCATTTGTATCCATGATTATTATTCCTTTGGCCTGAGTAGGCAGTCTGGCCTCATCTTGTCCTTGCACTTCCATTTCCTATAATTTAGATTCTTCAAAGTCCGTGTTGCCAATTACTATTGTTTGCCCTGTAGAAGGCAAATTCTAAGTAGAATATTTAGGAAGCTCTGTCTGAAATGTTTCTTAATGATTAGATTACCTCTAACTTTATTTCTTTATCAGGGACAGTTGCATTCAGTGTTAGCAATTCAGATCCTCTTAGGATATTTTCAACAACAACAACTTGATACAGAATCTTGTTAAAATTTGGAGATATAATTAAATTCACATCTGAAACAATATGGGTGTGCATAATACCAAACCGGATTGATTTTCCTTTATCAGCAACAATTAGAATCAGAAAATTTATGTATTTTCTGTTCTTCTCAATCTAGTAACTTTTCAAGGACAAGGTTTTTTTTGCATATTTGGCTCCAGTATGTACGTCCAGAGAAAACTGTTCACTCTCAATTGATAACTCTGGAGAGAATCAGTCCCCAGATCTGGACCCTGAGCTTCTTCTAAGAGAAACTGTGCCCTGAGATCTGCATTTTCAGCAATTTTTAATTCCAGTTTTTCAGCAGAGAAACTAGGAGGGTTATCATTAATATCTGCTATTTCATTTTAATTATTAAAAAATCATCTTATTCTTGATAAGAATCTTGAATTTTAATATACTTTTATCCATCTGATAGCATATCTGTTCTCTGTCAATTACTTTTTAACAAACAAATGGCCATTTCTCAAATCAAGTACAAAATATTGCTTCATACCTCTGGAAATTATCCTGGCTTCGCCACTTGATAGCTCATTTATTTCCTGTCCAAAATCCTTTGCAATATTTCCAACAAAAAAGTCTCCAGTTCTTCAGGAATTAAATACTGAATTTGTGCAGAAATTCTCTTCCGGGTACTGATCAGCACAAAACAAATCAGAATTTTCTTTTGATGCCTTCTCATTCCAGCCATTTTTCTGCAGACCTTACCAGATTGTTGCACTGCCAAATGTATTGTGTTATTTGGAGATGAGTAATACAAAGTATCCATAAAATACCTAAATTATTATGGTTGCATAACCAGACGTGGTGAACGTGCATCTGAGCTTTGTGTATTCACTGCTGTCTGAGTAGAGAAGGAATATATACTGTAGTTCATAGTATTGTGAGAAAACAGTGACACTCAGAGTTTCAACCAAACATTGCAATGGCATATTAACCCATTGTCGTATTTTTTTTCCAAAAAAAGTTTCTCAAGAAAAGCTAGCTAGATTTATTTAATTACAGTTTAATATATCAAAGGACTGAAATATTATAATGTCATGTATTCTAATTTGCTTTACAGTTTTAATGTCTTCATGGAAGAACTCAAAGTAAATCTGTAAAGAGACATTTTGAAAATGTTTTTTTCCTCACTCAAATTGTGGTCTGGAAGCTGCAGAAAATCCGAGGCTTTCCACGTCTACAGACCCTGCAGCACCAATCCCTGGTCCTGAAATAATTCTACAGCCACTCAGCCCAGGACAGAATTTATCATGGCAATAGCATCAACAGCAAGCCGCGATACTACCAAAATGACATGCACGTGATGATGTCATCACACAATTGCCATGATTATGTACTTGTGCCCTGATATCCGATGCAAGTGTGTTAGTTGTGGTGTTTGTGTGACAATATTATATGCATGTTTTGTCATTCCCCGATCCCCCTGCAGGCCCATGGTAGTTGTTTCTACTGATCACAGAAGAGATTGCTTGTACAGACTCTCTCTTGTTTTTTTGTTCATTGACCCAACATGGTCATTTGGGCTGCCATTTGAATCTTGGCTTGCCATTTGATTACATTCCTGTCTGCTCCTACTGTATGTATTAGCAGTACTGCTTTTACTCTTTTGACCTCCTAATTAGGCTGCTCTTTCTGCTGTCTCATTGCTATAATTTCTTGTGTGACATGACTGTGGTGCGTTAGATTTCAGTTTGCTGTTCAAGCTTTTCATAAAAGAAACATGCCTGAGACATTGTGAGTGAAGAAAAGAGGCTCAATTTCATACTGCAGATGGAAAGCTTATCAAATATAATGTTCAGCATCACCATTGTTCATCTTCATGTGTCCACTACTGGTTTGCTAATTTTCATTCTAGAGATACAGTTCTTAGAGCAGAAAACAAATACTGATCCCCTCATGTGAATAAGCACTATCAGTATTATTTATGTGGGAGCATAATCATAGCATAGCACCTGCCTGCTATACTTTAAAAGCAACTGCATCTTTTCCTGGGATTGCGTGACTGTCCTCCATAGCTATGACACAATCTTCTCATATCTGTGTACTTTTAGGTGTTGAGACAGATGCTATGTTTGCATTCCCTGTCTATGCCAAAGTATCTTCTGGAGATCAAGTCCAAAGTGCTGCAGATCCCTAATTAATATATCCATTGATGGATCTGCAAAAGGTGCTCCTGAGGGCATGAGATACATAGGAATAAATGGTCCTGCAGTTAATGGGCTTCAGCTAGATAAGTCTGTGTACTTCAACTAAGTGTCTTGAACTGAGCTTGGAAATCCACTGGCAACCGCTACAACTGTTTCTCATCATAGGGTTAACATGGCATCTGTGAGACGTGCCAATCTCTACCTGCACTGCTGCATTATGAGTCAACTGCAGTTTCTGAACAGTTTTCAAGAGTTATCTCATAAAGAACATATTGCAACCATCCAACTTTGAGGTACTACCAGATGATGGGCTTCTCTCCTCTGATAGATATGGATCTTGTGTATCTTCCATAGCTGATAAAAGGCCCTCTGTGCCACTCTGATGGATAATATGTACCCAGAGAGGAACAAGGATTGTACACCTGTGTAAATATCCTGGATTTTTCTCAGGAACATTTAATGTAATTGACCACAGTACACTTTTGAAACACTTGAAGGAGCTGGGAGTTGCAGGCATTACTTTGTGGTTCAACTCTTACCTCTCTGGGTGCTATTAGAAGATAGTCTTGGGTGACCATTGCTCAGAAGCTTGAGGGAAGCCTGACAAGTTCCCATTTTCTCTCCCATGCTATGCAATGCTTACATGAAGCCACTGAGAAGGATCAATCATAGGTTTGAGTTTATTGTTATTAATAAGCTGATGGTACTCAGCTGCCCTACAAGCTCGGAGTTGGATTTTGCAAGGATCTTTGAGGGTCTCCAGGATATAAAGGATTAGATATGTGAGGATAAGCTGCAGTTGAAGACAAACAAGTAGAGTTGTTGCTGATTACAAATCAGTAATGTCTCATTAAATTAATATCCAGACACACTGCTTTCCCTTTGATTAGATTCAAAATAAAAATTGCAACCTTTCACATGATGAATTTAGTTCACAAAATTCAAGCACTGTGTATATGTCAGTACATTCAGTATCTTACTTCATGGGATGCAGACAACAGTATGTTGGCTTGCAAAATGGTCTTTAAATTAGGCATCCTAAGTTACATAGAACAATGTGCCCCTACCCTCCTGGGCTTCCAGAAGGACTTGAAGAGCTGGCTTTCCCCACAGGTGTTGGAGGAGGAGGAGGTGAAGTGCCAGTGTGGGAGAGTGTTGGCCCAGGAAGCCAGGAATTTTATTTCAGTTGTCTGTTTTTTTGTTTGTATTGTTTTGTGAACTGCCCAGAGTTGTGGTTCACAATATGGATGGCTATATAAGTCTTTTAAATAAATAAATGTGCACATTCTTGGGGTAAAACTGGGTTTGGTTATGCTTGATCAGGGCACACTGACCAAAATGTGCCAAAACTGACCAGTGGTACCCTTAACATTCACAGGGAAAGTTGCATGTGGCACAGCTACAGCTGGTTATCTAGTCTGCACCTTTTCTATCTTACTAAAAAAAAGTATACTAAATTGTTGATTGATGAAAGCCATGGTGGGGTGACCAGGGCATATTGAAAACTGACACTCGGAATGTAAGCTGAGTAAATAATAAAAAACATGAAGTGATGTATGAAATGAAAGAAAAAACTCTATGTATGCTGTGTGTCTCTGAAACAAAGAGAAAAGGGAAGATATAATAGGTTTGAATGAAGGTAGCCTGATGTTGTGGAATGGAGTTGATGAATACAGGGAAGTGAATGAAGATGAATACAGGGAAGTTATTTAAGTATGAATGAGAGGGCTAAAATGTATGTGATGAAGTGTGGATTGGGGTCATACAAGTTGTTGTGGGAATACAATAGGTTGATGTGCTCCAGTGTATGATAATAATGGAAGAAACAGAGATGAGTTGTGGGAAGATATTCTGAATGAGTACAATCCAGGGGAAAGACTGGCATGAATGGTTGAATGGGAATGATTGGGCCCTTTGGAGACTCAAGAATGAATGGGATTGGTGACCACTTGGCAAATAACTCCTTAGAAAAGGATCATTCATTTCAAATAGTGATGTAAACATAATTCTATTCATATATACAGACATCAAAATAAAGGATATAAATTTAAAATCTACAGGTGGGAAAATGCAGGAAGACATTTTAAGACATTCATATATGTAAAAAGGTTGTGGGTAGTGTATGTTCTCTGTTGTGAGAAATGAATGTCAAAAGAAGAAAATGGTTGTGTGTAAAAACTTGTTTTTGCTCACTTTGTTATATGGAAATCAGTGTGTTGGATGTGTCAGGAGAAACACATTTTGAATGTTGAATGCAGTGGGAATGGGGTATGAAAGGGGTGTGTGTGCAAAACAAGCAATGAAGTCAAGAATGTATGTGTGATGAATGAATGTGAACTGAGTACCCAAGTGAGTAATGTATGTTGAGGTGATTTGATCGTATCAAGAGAACAAATGAGAATCAAATTGCAAAACAAATATATGAAGGAGGAGTGAATGGGTTGAGAAGGGAAAGGCTGAGAAAGTCATAGCTGGATGGAGATGATGAGGTCCTGAAAAAGAGGGCAGTGAGAAGTTTAAAGAACAAAAGGGAATGTATAAAATGGTGTATGGACATGGAGAAAGGATGATCTGCAAGGATAAAGAGGCATAGTGAATGAGGTTAACTAGTTCAGCTATACTTCCTTTTCTCTTTCTTATATCATGCCTTTAATTTCTTGGCTTATTATTTTTTCCTTCCTCCTTTTCTGCACTGTGGTTAACATTACCTACCCTGGAAAAGAAAAGTGTGATGGTATGTATATATGTAGATAGATAGATGATTGATAGATAGATAGATGATAGATAGATATAGAGATAGATTTCATACAAAAAGGGAGATTACAGAGAGATCCTGTCATTATACACTGTAGCGGGAGTGGGAAAAACAAGCTTTGCTAACTTCTTTTCAGTATCTTATTTAGATGTGAATTAAACTTCACAGCATTCTAGATTCTTTTCATTTACTACCTTATTCTGTCAGGAGCAAGTACGTGTCTTCTTTCTCCTGCATAATTTAATTGCTGTAAATTCATTGATGTAAAAAGAGGAAATGGACATCAAAGAGAGGATTATTTTTGTCTCATTTAATATGGTTAAAAGTGTATGCAAACATCAGAAGTCATCTTCTGATATTGGATTTAGAATTATACCTGAACTGGGGGGTGGGGGTCCATTAACCAGCAGAGTCACTTTCGGATGGTACTGTTCTTCTTCATGCTCCGATCTGTTTCTTTCCCAGAGCTTATAGGAAAGCCCAAGAATTCCAGTCTGAGTTTGCATCTACCGTGGGCGGTATAGTGACACAGGTGGTTTGTTGCTGCAGGCACTCTACCATTGGGTAGAGTGGTACTCTTCCATGAATGAGAGAAGCACTGTTATTTTCATTAACCTGGGCAAAGAGACCTGGTCTATCATTATCAGCAGCTCAATGAAAAACCACTTTCATATTATTGCCAAGAAAACAACATGGACAATTCTAGGTAGTCACCTGGAACTAGTTTGAGTTAAGGGAGACTATCTTTTCCTATCCATGGACCATAGGAAATATATGCCCTCATTTTCTTGGTTTATAAAGACACACAGAAGCACAGGAAAAACATGTCCATTTATACATATCAGTGAGCTTGCCATCACATCATCCCCTTTAAGTGTTTGACCTTTCCAGGGAGCACAAGTGGTCTGCTTTTTGCCCTCATGTCTAAGTATTAGTTGTTCGAACTCTGGAAATTGCTAGTATCTGATATCATTGCAGGGAACTTCCTTTTGCTAGAAAGGCTGAGAAACCTAAACCTCTGGTATAGACAGTGTTGCTGTGCACTGCCACTTTCCTATGTTCTTTTTTCTTTTGCCACCAAAGAAATGTCATTTTATAGTAACTGAAAGCTACTTCTTTATTGCAAAATAAAAAAAAACATTAATTTTGATTTTTTTTAATCTTCTTTTTTTGGAGGGGGGTATATTGTATGTTGCATATTTTAGGTATGAGGGCTGCCACGTACCAAGAAGGGGGGCAACTGAGACAACAAATAGGACTTTACCCGTGAGTTGGATAGCAGAGAGTTTAGGGAGGGGATTAACAAATTCTCCTTGTAAGAGATATGTGTCATTTTGCTAATCTGAGAGCCTGAGAAGGAAGCAGGAAGAAATACAATCCTTCTACTAATGGAACATCAAAGGAACATCAAAAAACCTGAAAGGATAAAATAAAGATAAATGGATAGAAGTCTGCAATCCTTGATAAGCTCTGTGTGTTCCTGCTTGAGAATACACACTGAATCACAAAATCAGTGAATCACAGGTACCATGTTCTGAATGCTGATTGGTGGGGAGCAATAGTGGAAGAAAGCTATTTTGTTCCTCTCCATGCTATGAGTTTATACTACTGACACCATGATGAAGATGATGATAACGATGATGATAGTTTCAATGTTGGGGTTTGATTTCACCAATTAATTCCATTTAAAGAACTTACAAACTGATTTTATTAATTTCAAGCATACAAATACAATATTAAAATCCAGCTAACAATATGTATGTGGCATTTTTATTTCCCCATTACATAGAGATAACAGTGCATAAAACACAATGGGTGTACTGTACTCCACATCCTTTAAAGCATTAATATATTTTCCTGCTGATTCTAGTTGTCTGCATTGTATCCTTTACTATCTAATCTGCTACATCAATACAATACTACTTGCTACTCTTTTTCATCCACAGATTTAATTTTTTTTACAATTGTGATTTTTGTGATAGTTTGAACACAATACTATTAGTAAAATACAAAATCTACAGACATTTCATTCAACCATGTAAGCACAAAACCAGGAAATCATGTCATAATAAAACATACAGATTTTTTAAAGAGGTCTTTAATGGTAGCATTTCTTTATGGATTTACTACTGAATTACCCTTTTTTTATAGAAAGTACTGTCAATATTGGTGTTAAATCTCATTTAGTTATCATTGGAATAATTCCGACCACCACAAGTAAACAGACCTTAAAGGGCAGCCAATGACTGAGGGGAGCTTCTTTGGTCCTCTTGACCATAACAACACTGAGGGCATAGTGCTTTTTTCAAATTCTGCATAGTTCACTCCACATTTTCCAAAGGAGAACTGATTACCTTGCAGTATATTTCTTAGCATTGTACATTGTGATTGCAGGAAATCAGGAATAATTGTTTATTAGTGAAATTGCGTTCTGTATATAGACATGCACATATAGTGTGTGGGTATTATGAAAGTTACTCTCTCAAACAACTTCAGATAATGATGTAATTGAAAACTTAGATCCACCTAGGAAATGATGTGCACCATCATTGGGAAAACACCACTGAAATCAATGGGAGAATTCTGTTGCAAAGCTCCCATGTTCTCTTTTTTCTTACTAAGCACACTTGATTACTTGTGTTACCAGAACTTTTATGTAGGTACAATTTATTAGTTAAATGAATAAAATGTCCAAGGAATTGGTATAGCTACTTAAAATATTTTATGGAGAGCAGCATAATCTCATAAATCATAAACCAAAGAAGAATCACAACAATAAACATGCAGCCTAGGTCAAAAAAGCAGTAGCCTATTATAAAATTCTACAAAGCAGAAATAACAAAGCAGCTATATATTAGGTAAAATGTATGCGTATAATTCATTTGTATATTATTCCACACAAACTCAGTTGAAATGAATGGGAACAGCCAAGGGCATTCTTGTTGTTTTCAATCTGGCTTGTTTTAAAGAGTTTCCAAAGTTTGTGCCTGATGTTCTTTTATATATTCTTTTCAGGCTAGAGGATTCTTGCATGTATCTTCTGATAAAGACAGAATGATGGGCTGAGTTGGTTTTCATCATTTAGTGATAGGAAAGCCAGTCACTTTGACCAGAGTTCATGTTTGCACCTATTGCTTGATTTACAGTGCAACTTGGGCCTCCAGATCTGGCAGCAGGATCTTCAGACAAAGGAACTTTGGCCTGCAAAAATTATAAAAGGAAGGTTTGTAATTTTTCAATATTGAATTTTATTTGCATAGATAAATACTTTTAGGGTATTAGGTTGCAATATGAAGACATGCTTGCCTAGCATACGGGTTAATGTCTTTGGAAACATAAACTATGTGTGTGAGTGTGTGTGTTTGAGAGAGAGAGAGAGAGAGAGAGAATGAGAGAAATTTCTAAGTACGTATCAGGTTTCATCAGATGTTAAAATGCCTGATTATGCTACTAAAAACAAATATAGCTAACTTCAAAGTTTACCTGCTGGCACATTTAACTTAAGCCTGATCAGGATTAAATGTGGACTGAGGAAGAAACAAAAGGAGAATTAGGTGTAATGGATGGTACAAGACTAAGCAAACCTATATTCTAGAACGTGACAAAGAAAAATCCCAGAGCAATGAGAAGCAACTGGGCAGCACTGGGATGGGTCCCTCTGTTCTGTTCTGATTTAGTATTCATGTTAGTAGAACAGTTAAAAAAAAAAAACCTCCATGTTTTGAAGGATCTTTGTTTCATAGATTTGTAGGAAAAGATCTGCAATGTTAATTGGCAAGTTTTACTAATGTATGAAGAGTATAAGTAAGTGAAATAGCAAGGAAGTGGAGGGAAAAGACTGTACAGGAAGCGGGGAGGCAAAGCATACATGGCACTTTGTCAATAAAAGAAAGACCAGTTAAGCATAATGGATGGAAGGAGAAGTTATTCAAGCAGTCAGTTGGAATGTGAGGGAGCCCAGCGGTGTACAGTAGGTGAGTGAAACAAAGACCACCTGCATTGGGGGAGAGAGACTGGTGAGTGTTTGGGAGAGGCCAAACATTTGGTGGATGCAGAAGCAGAATGTGGGAGGGAGAGTCCATGCACAGGCTGTGGGTGGGAGAGCATAAAAACATGTGAAGGGGGAGTGAGAAAGGCCTGTGTTTTCATTAAAATAACAGAAGAGAGTCAATAAACAACTCAGATCAAAATGAATACAGCAGCTGATATCACTTTCCCATGATCAGATCACTAAAATCCTGTACAGTACTTCGGCTGAGCAAACATTTGGCCACCTAGAGTAACTCCTGTGATTGAGGTAGCATCAAGGTGATAATAAATACATAATGGCTAGATATGATTCAGCCAGATGGACTTCCCTAGGCACCAAAATGGTGAGGCTTATTCTTCAACTCTATCCCTTTCTGAAGATGTTAAATCTGGCCATGTTGGCACATTTCTTAAGTTACTAGGCCTGCGTGAAACAACTCCATTCCACCAAACATAGCCTTGATTTCAGTGCTTGTGAGTCGATCCAATTTGAAGCAGTGCCCTGAGTCCTAAAATCAAGCCACCCATCTGTCTCAGTGCTGCAAACTAAACCATAGACCCAATATACAGCTAATGTCCAGAAGACCCTTTTATGGTCAATATTGATTAGAGTCTGCTCTAATCCAATACTTGGAAAGGAAATACTACTTTGATTTGGCACTTTGCTTCAGAAGAGTTCACTAAATCATCATGCCCCTATAAGCAATGCACAGCCATACTAGTTACATCCTTTTTGCACTATTATAAGGCAGTTCACATGAATATCATCAACTTATTGCATGTAGTCAAATATATGGAATAAAAAACATGCATTAGAAAACAAGAAGTAAAACAGCATGATACTTACTTTATGTATCATATAAAAAACCAAAATATACTCTATGATAAAACTATCAGTAAAGCAGAGCTTATTTTTACTTTTTGCTCTTTAAATTGCAGCTATCTTGCACAAACATAGAGCATATAACTTTCCTGTAGGATCTTGCCGTCATACAAATATCTATTGTGTTTATTGTAAGCAATGTATACCATTCAAAAACAAATGAAAAGTCATATTGATTCTAGATATAGGCTTATGTACATAGCATATATATTATACATACAATTTGTATATTTTTATGTACATATAAAAGTGTTATAAATTTAGCGTTTGGCAAATCTGTGCTCAGCCCGCTATCTCTAACAGTCTGTATTTTTAGCTAATACTTGCATTTTTAAATAATGACAATAAATAAATTAACATGAGGAAAAACAGAAGAGGAGAAGATGATGGAATCATAGTGGAAAGAAGATAAATAGAATAAAAATATGTGAAAGTGAAAGCAGCAGCTAAAACATTTTTAAAAATGGACTTTTTACAATTTAGCAAAAACAAGGAATGTAGACAAGCTGCATCAATAAAACTGTTTTCTCACCTGTTTCGTTGCTGCAATATCTACAAACTGCTCAGGTTTATCTTGGGCGCCAGAAGAAGTCCTACAGTTCCCAGGGACATGAACATCTCCCACCGAAAACACAGGAATGAGGGGCCTGAGAAATCGGAACTCACTACTTAAGGATCCACCAGTCAAACAAACATCATAACGGTAAGTCCTGGAAAGTGACCCATTCTGTGAATCAGCACAGTTCTCTGGGGTATCAACATTGGCATCTGGGAAGTGAGGAGGCGCAGCAGTAAAATTCCTTTGGGGATCCTTCTTGAGGACTTGGATCACAATAAACACAACAATACACACCAGGAACACAGAGGAGACTGCAGCCAAGCAGATCACCAAATACTTGGTCAACGTTTTATCATCTTCTGGTTCTTGCACACTGACATCCACCCTCCTCAGGAAGGGATCCGAAAAGCCATCCACAAGAAGAACATTAAGCAATGCCGTGCTGGTCTGAGGAGGAAGACCGTTGTCTCTGACTAGTACCACGAGCCTCTGTTTGTTTGCGTCTCGCTCATTCAGGGCTCTCCTGGTTTTCACTTTTCCATTCTGCGCTCCTATGCTGAAAAGTCCAGGGTCCGTGGCCTTCAGCAATTCATAGGAAAGCCAAGAGTTTTGACCAGAATCTCCATCCACTGCAACCACCTTGGTGACCAGATA